AAAAAAAAAAAAAAAAAAATAAATGAGAAACAAAATTATAAGAATGTTAAAATGCATAAAATAGCTCTAATGTGGATCATTTATCCATAACTTAATAATTATTTTTAAAAAAATGTTGCATGTTATTTTAATTTATTAATTTCTCTTTATAAATAGTCGAAAATATTTACAAATTCATTACATGCACTATCCTAGAAGGTATAACATGTTCTCTACATAGCGGACATTGTGATTTAGTATTTAACCAATCGGTAAGGCAAAACCAACAAAACAAATGACCACAAGGTGTGGTAGTTGTTGGCACATTTTCAAGGCACAACTGGCACATCAGCATACTATGTCTCTCATCAATTGTTAAGTATTTATCAGAGCAATTTTCACTATGGTTTGTTTGCCAGATTTTTAACATACACTGTGCGAGAGTAGCAATTCCTAATAGTCTCAATCCCCAACTGATAGTATCAGTAGGCCTCTGACCATATACCTTCAAATTGAAAAAGAAATAGTACAAAGTACATCTCAGTCACTAGTGTAATATCATTTTGCAAAAATTACCTTTGCATAATCTATTCGTGCTATTCTTTTACCTAAGCTATAATATCGACCAAACATATAAAACAATCCCTTGTGCACTAATATGAAAATGGGTATCATAGTATACATTTTTGTTATGAAAGAGTTTAAAAATGTTACAGCTGCAGGAGTTAATTGGCTATAAGGATGATTAATGGATAGTTCTAATTTTTTTAGCAATCTTATTAATCCTTTCTCTCCAAGACATTCTAAAACTATTGCTAGCAGCCTTGCCTAAATAGTAAGTAAATATTGTGTATTAATAAAATATAGTGCATTTATTTTGTAGTATTTCAACATACATATATAGATGGAACTTTTTGAGCATTTAAATTGGCCTGCACGATGCCAGTGTATTCTTCTCCTAATGTTTGATTTCCCATTCCAGTGGTAAAAAAGAAATAAATCAATTTGAATGGAATATCTGAGTGCATAAAAGGTAGCAATCCAGTCCGTTTCTCAAGAATTTGCAGTACATCGGTAATTTTCTCTCGTAAATATTTTACAAAGTCACCGTCCCTCTGCTGTGATCGTAGAATTTCGGCTTGACTCGCAATTTTTAACTTTCGACGTTTTCTCTTTGCTTCCATTTTTAACGAATAACTACTATACGAAAAATTGAAGGGCAAAATTGTTCCCTTGAATTGAACGCGAAGAGCGAGATCACCAATATTAAGAATAACACTTACTGAATTAATGAATAATGACTAGTAAATTGATTCAAAATAATTCGAACATAACCTCAAACGTTTAAGAAAATCTTGTATTATTTTTTATTAACTTTAAACATTATGGAACAGTATGTATTTGTTATTTATTAAATATTAAAGAGAAATAATAAAAAAAATCCAGTATAAATACAAGACTGAAATATATCGTCGAAATTACATTACACAGTTATGTGAAAGATGCCGTTCATGTACGTATATAATAAAGAAACAAAAAAAATTATTTTTAAATAATGATTCTAGTTTTTTTGTTTAAATCTTAGTCAGATGAGAAATTTATTTATTTAAATATTTTATTTTAGAGTACGAAATATGTATGTACATATACATGTTTACAGTTTAAATACGCGTATAGACGTATCAACGCACATTTATAATATTAAATGTAAAATATTTAACGCACGTTAAAATAATTACAAATAATAAATATTTATTTATGAATCATATTTTGATCCCTAAATAAAGAATTATAAATTCTACTTTGGCGCAAAACAATGATAGTGAAATATGAAGTAAGAACTCACCAAAATTGCAGTATTTCTTGTATTACTTATGATAATTAAAAAATTAAAACGAAGTGCATTGTTATAAATTAGTAAAAAGATCAAAAACAAAGAACGAAAAACAATTAAAAAACGTCTACCGAAAAGAATTTGAATATGATTACGTGCGTTTTGCTAAACGAAAAATGTAACTAGCAAATAGTTACAAATCCATGGAAACCACAGTGATTTTTTTCAATTCGAAATACTGATGCCATATTTAATTTATATTCTGTAATACGAAAAAATTAGTAATTTGTAAATTCTAATGTATATTCAGTGTGATAATTCACAATTAATTAATATTGTCAGTAAAATTCTCGATTTAATTTATTTTAAAACTGCTTTTTTTCTGATATTGTAACTTTAGAATGTTTCTATTATTTACATAATCTTCATGTCATTAAATCTTGTTATTAATACAATAATTTTAATTTTGATTAAAAAAGTTACGATACAAATAAGAAAAATAATTACTTCAAAACAAAACTTTGGTAAGTTGCTTTCCATTAATAGTGATAGAAAGATTTCCCGATTTGAATTAGAAATTGGGGGATTGAGAAAACGAGAAGAGATCTTCGATAAAATAGAACTTCGTTATTATTAGAGTAAGATGAAAATATAACGAGAACCGCTAGCTTACTGCAATCGCTAATAATTAAGCGATACATTTCTCGCTGTTCAAATTCTGATTATTTTTCCGGTATGTTATGCTAAAAAACGTTACGTGTATCTAAAAAACACAACGACGGAATTTACAATTTCGAGTCAAATTTCGCGCGATAACGAGACGCCATGTTTAAATTGTTACCAACGAAGTATCTGCCGCCATTGGCCGGTAAAGTAGCCGCGTGCCGCGTATTCGGCATCGAGCACGGCGTTCTTCGCAATCTACGTAGTGGCATAGTCTCAGACAGAGGGCAAAGCGGCGAGCAGCAGAGAGGCATCGCCCTAGATAACGGTAGAATCGTGGGCTGGTGTCGTGCTGCTTTTTCGTAAAAGTGCTTTCGAAAACGGAGAGGAACCACATCGAAATCGGTCGTGCGTATCTGGGAAAAGCGTCCACCAGAACTGAAGTTGTGTACCCGGTAATGCGTGGAGAAGCCGCCTCGAGCCAATGATTATATCGGCTCATCGAGGCGACCGTGTACGAGCCGAGGACCGTGCCCTGTGAGGAGCTTTGGTGCACCCGCGACCGCGTGAGACTTTCGTGAGTAGCGCGGAATATTTTCCAGCCACCAGTGTTTCTCGGCCACGTTTCGTTTCGTTCGTGGCGAACCGTATTATTAACCGGTGGCACCAGTCCATGGATTCTCCCCACGATCACTTTCGATGTGTTTGCTACGCGTACGGGACGACGAACCGAGCAGCACAGGAGTAGGAAGCGAGTAATCGCCAGAGAATCTCTCGTAGATTGGGATATAGTGGGCTGTGAACAAGGACAGGGAACGCGAGAGAGATAGAGATCGAGCGAGCGAGCAAACGAGGAGGGAGACGAAGACAGTGCGCGAGGAAGAAAGGAGAAAGACAGAGAGAGACACAGAGAGAGAGAGAAAGAGAGAGAGAGCAACGTATACGAGTGCAACGAGAGGGCCATTAGATCCGAGGGATACACGGGTGTATACGTCGAACGGGATTCAACGAATATTTTTGAAGGCGCAAGGTAAGGAGGATAGAAAAGACCAATGTCCCTCTATAGGGATAACGTAGTTCTCTAAAAAAAGAACAGCGTCCCCATACCCCCGGTGAGGTCGTCGTGGCGTGGCACGCTAGGCAAACGCCGCCGGAAATCGTACACGGTGGCCGCCCGCGCGTTTTCCGAGGCGGTGTCTCGCTACGTGCCTCGTTAGATTTTCAAAATTCAGACGGCATCGTCTTCCTACCACCACCGTCTTTATCGTCTCGTCCATTTTTTTGCTCGACTTCTCTTCATAGTCGCGTCGATCTTTCGTCAACTACGTATATGGTTGTCGTTCTCGTGCGGGGACGTTTCATTCATGCGTACACGCCGGTTTTCTCGTGTCAAAATCGCGATGTCGTTTAGATGGCTGGAAAGGGGCCAAGTCTCCCTTATAGGTTATGTTCGGCTATCTGTTCCATCGGGTCGTTACGTCTCGACTTATCGAGCTCGCGATAAGCGTAGCGGCGATTCGTGGGAAAAATTGATGATTTTGAATGCAGTTTCGCGTAACACGAAAGGCGAAACAAAGCTGAATGCGCAAGGAGGGCTCGCTAATACTTTCGCCTGTTCGTTCGTCTTCTTTTTCTCCTTGACTGTTCAGTGATTCACGTGAGTCACCGGCGGCGCAGGAAGTGACTCGAGAAGAAAGAAACTCAGCAACGTGCAACGGCGACGCTTTTGTTTCTCGTGTCTAGAGGTATATATTTGTACAGTAGCAACCGTGTATTCGCGTATCACGCGTACGTTCAACGAGATGAAATTTTTATTTGTCTTTTAAATGACAACAAACCGTTTTACAGAGACCGATTGTATTTCTTGGAATTTCGACGAGGCGGCGTAGTTTATCGTATTTGGAAAATGACCCGTATTTTTCTCTACTACAAATGTTTTACTAAATTTTCTACTCACGTATTTTTTAAAATTTTCTATACAATCAAAATAATATACGGCTGTTTTCATTCTCTAAAAGACTCATTGTATTGATATGTACGCAAGATTGAGAAGTATCAATTTTGAATAGTAAAAAGTTCAACTCGTAGAATGCCCTAGTGTGATCCTAGTTTTTGGAACTAGAAACGTATTTGACGTCAAAAAAAATAATTTTCGTGGAAGGAACACATGAACATTAATTTCGTGTATATCGATTTGATATTTGATTTCAATATTCTGCGTCATTTGAAATTTGACAATAAACCGTCCAATGATAAATGGAAGGCAACGAAATATTTAGTAACAGTAACTAGAAACAATAACCTAATGAAATGAATAATTCATTATCTTGTATATAGTTGTATATAGTAGAATCGTACGAATGAATTAGGAGAGAAACAGAGAGAGAGAAAGAAGCGAGCTAGATTGCATCAAGTCAATTTCTAAAAATCACTAGAACATTTATAAAAATCACTAGAACATTTATGAAACTTCTCGCTATTTATAAAATTTGCAGAAATTTTACAAAATCATGTAATTGCAAATTTTTCCGTGTAAGATTTCCTCAACTCTTTCTTTTTTTTTTTCTAGTAACTGAAAGTATATTAAAGAATGCCATCACGGCTAAAAACTTAAAAAACCCTAGTGTAGCATTTGACGGTTCAAACATATATATATATATATATATATATATATATAGTGTCATTCCATGGTTAAATTCAACACGCGCAATTTTGTGATTTTGTGGTTATGTTTTAGATTTATTGTTAACACAAATCAGCAGCGTTGGAAACGCGGCTAATTGTTGACGGTGTCGAATCGGTTCGACGAAGAATGCAGTGTGCTGTCACGTGACCCGTGAATTTAGTCTCTACGGTAGTGGCGGGCGTTCGTTTTCGTGGAAACTGGTTATAACAGCGTTTCATAGCTGAAATCACATTTACGGAAAATAATTATTTCAATGAACGGGCTCAATGCTAGCCACTCGTGTTCGTATTTAATTTAATTTGCGAGCGCCGGGCTTCGCTTTATTCTTACAAAGCGGGGCGGCGGGGGTCTCGCGTTCAAAATCCGCGTTTATTAACATTTATCCGGCGAATTAATGAATTTAACGTGGTCGAAATAATGAAACTCGCCAGCAGCTCGCTGGAAACGGGACTGGCGAAGGTGGCGAGTTATCAGAGGCGAAGTAGATAACGAGTTTGAAAGCCACCGCGTGGCTAATTTAACGGGAGTTATTTTTAGTCGAGTTTCTGAAATTCGATACGTCAATTTATTTATCCGCGGGATTCGGCGTTCAACCGGTAGACCGGTTGAGGAACGAACCATGCAAATTGGAGTCGTTTACTTTTATAAATAACATTAACAGAGTGAACCTGTTATTCAATTATCTCGCCCACGTCGCATTCGAGACAATTCAATCAAAAAACAATGAAAATTTTTAATTTCAGTTTTTTTTTTTAATGTAATTTGGTAAATCGATATTTTTTTGTTACTTAATTTCACGAAACGTTGTTGACCAAAATATATATATATGAAAAAAGAAAGTAAATTCCATCGATGCAATTAAATAAACCGAATATGTTTTTTTGACTGATTTCTATTTTTGATAACAGATTAAAAAAAAATTAGATATGACGTAAAAGCGGGATTTTTTTAATGCGATACGTCAATCATTGAAAGCTATGTGTGTGTGTGTGTGTGTATATATATATATATATATATATATATATATATATATATATATGTATGTATCTCCGATCAACTTTTTTTTATCTGTTATGAACGAGATAAATAAAAAAAAAGAACAATGTATATATATATATATATATATATATATATATACATGTTATTTCATCACGTTCGTTTTGACTTAAATTATAACATGAATAAAGATTGTAGCCTGAACGATATTGGCAACCGTTTCCCTCCCTTCATCCACCGCTCTTTTACGCTTTCTTTCTTTTTCCGTCTCTCCTTCCCTCCCTCTCTCTC